GGGGAGTTGAAGTCCACACATCTTGAAGTTGCCAAGTTCAAGAAATAGCGCTCTAGAATAAAGACAGACCACCGCAGCCCTCCAGATATTGCTGAACTACAACTCCCAGCGGCCCTCCCTCCAGCTGGAGGGACTGGGGTTGCTCATTTCTGGTTAAGAAGTACGAGAAATTGTGGAAATCACATTCTTACACTGGGCAAAATCCCCCAGGCCTCTGACAGCAGGAGTCAGCAGGGACTGTAAAAATTTGTCGTAGGTCTAACTTATCCCTATATACACATGAGCTGGGGAGATAAAGCTGGTGAAGGTTGGATGTTTAGTAGAAGGAATGCCAGAAGCAGGTTAGCACACACACACACACACACACACACACACACACACACACACACACACAGGTTCCAAAAGACCCTCTCTTCCCTCTGTCCCTTACCTTGGGGCAACAGGTTCTGAATAATCCTCCAATTCGCTCCCTGAGCTGGCAGAGGTGCGTCTGCTGCGGAAACTTTCCACTGGAAAAAAGGGTGTTGGGGGTGAGGTCACCCAAATCTCTCCAGTGGTGGTTTTGCACTTGCGAGTCATCAAACGCCCTATTTTTTTTCTTACCCAGTTGCAGAACTTTACATTTCTCTATATTGTGATGGAATGGAATTATGATGGCCAGGCTCAGGGAGATAAGCGTTTTCTTAGTTCACCGAAAGAGCATGGGAACTACAAGAGGGTGAGGCTGGCACCTCCCTGAGGAATTCACACTATTGTGGCTGGCTGGCTTGGGAGCTGGGGTTTCAGTCTGGGAAGATTCCTGCTAGAGGTTGTAGCTAATAAACATAGCTGAACTGATTTGATTGATGTCAGGTTTAGCCCAAGGAACTCCAAGAGACAATACAAAATCAGTTCAGCTATGTTTATTAGCTACAACCTCTAGCAGGAATCTTCCCAGACTGAACCCTCGGCCCCAGACTATCAGAGTGGGTATTACAGTAAAATAAAAGCAGCTAGAAGTATCTTCTCATCATTATAAGCCAGGGTTTCTCAACCTCAGAACTCCCAGAATTCTGGAAGTTGAAGTCCACATGTCTTCAAGTGGCCGAGGTTGAGAAACACTGTTAAAAGCGACGGTCTGGCTATCAGCGAGAAGAACCCCCCTGAACTGGGTGAAGGGTAATGAGGACACAGAGAGTTCACAGACATTGTGGTGCCTCAGGATGGACTTGTCAGCCAGGGGAGACTGACAGCTTTCATCGGAGAGAACGAGGCGGGGTTGGCTGTGTGCCGCTGGCGAAAACAAAAAAGCCACCTCTGTGGAAGCTTTGGAGATAAGTGGGATACGGGGGGGGGGGGGGGGGAACAAATTTCACGTCTGTGTTAACCAAATAAAGGAAGAAGAGCTGTAGCCGTGTCAAAAAGCCATTTCAACGTTTATCAGTAAATTGAGGTGGGAGGGGGCTCTTCATAACAGCGGGCTGTTTGTGCCCTGAAGGCCCTTCTGCCCGGAGATGGCACCCTCAGTCGCCAACTTGCTGCAATATTTTTTCTTCGTTTGAGCCTTACCTCAAATGTCTTGGTGCTTGACCTCCTAGTCCTCTATCCCACTCCTACTAACTGTAAGTACAGGGGGTCCCCGGGTTACGAACACCCAGTTTACAGATGACCCATAGTTAAGAAGGAAGCCTACTGTAGCAAAATTCAAGTTAAATATCCAATGATTCGAGTTAAACACCCAATGGTTCGGGTTTATTACACAATGCTAGTTGTACCAGTGTTTCTCAACCATGGGAACTTCAAGATGTGTGGACTTCAGCTCCCAGAATTCCCCAG